GAACAACACACACTTTCGCAGATCGGATCCAAACAAGCGAACAAAGAAACGGGAACAAAGCTCAAAAGAATCAACTGCAAATTAGTGTTTCACTACAGTTGTTAAAGTGAGCAGATATTGTAGACAGACAATGCGGTACTATGCACAATGTTGACTGTAGCTAAGGTTTTAACTCTCACAAAGGGGAAGTGAATAAAGGGTAGGACATATGACTAGTTCATTACTTTATCGATGTACATTACATATAATTAAAATTGACATTCCTGTAGCGTGTTGGCATCAACAAACAATAGATATGGTATTACTCATAACTGTGAACACTACCACGCTTCGATGAGTCCAAAGACCAAACTCAAAAATTTATTGTACTTGAGCTGAAAGGTATCCATCGTTAAGTTTGATGTCATATTATAAAAAAAGTTTTTTGTTTTTTTTATCCTTAATGCCTTAAATTGGGGATAAGTCACGTTTAAATGCAGCACTATTTTTTGGATTATCTTGGATATTGAATTTAAGTAAATAAACCGTAGAATTGTAATTTTAAAAATTAACGTGCAATAGTATTGGTACATGTTATCGCGTGATAGCAACATCAAGATCTCTGTAGTAGCGTGGCTGGCTGGGCAGCTTCATTGTCTCGTAACTACACAAGTACATGGAGAAGAATAAATTCGTAGTCGATGTCATAGCAACCTATTTTATCAAATTCACACGTAAAGTCTAACAAAGAATATTATTCATTAGATTAGCTTGTCTATGCTTGCAATCAACGTTAGACGAGTCAATTTTGTTTCGTCTTTCCAGTTAGTTCACTTACCATGGCAGTTAGTCCTCAAATGTGATTTATGTCATTTCCAAAGTTAAATATGGCACGAAAAACCTTCAAGGATGTCAACGTCAATGGGGAAAATATATCCAGAATGTACACAACCCAGACAATGACAATCATTTCCTGTCAATGGTTTCTGCACAGGCTTTTTACTGTGAAATACTTTATTTGAGCTGGAATTAATTTTCGCTGAAAAGACATTTTGGGTGTTTTGTATGGAATTTATTTTCACTGATTTTTGACAAGTTGAATGTCAAATATAGGAAAAAAGGTATAATCGCTGGATTTTATTTTCACTGAATTATTTCCATCAGCGAAAATAGCGAAAATTAATTCCAAGCGAAAATAAAGTATTTTACATTATACCGTATTTGCTCTATTATAAGCACATGTACTTATATGTCAATACAGATATGTTTCCACGAGTCATATTTTAATGATTCAGAAAACAATATTTTGGCTGCGGTTTTACCTAATATGGTAATACTGTACAGGCAGTAATTATTCACAGAATATTAATTATTTTTTTTTCGATGAAATGTAATATCTGCTAAATTAAATCCATCTGAACATGTAAAATAAGAATAGAATTTGTGAACTTAAAACCCCGCGAAAATTGTTCAAGACATCGAAATAGTGAAACTAAATGCCAGTGAAAATTAATGCTTTTAATCGTTGTCAAATCAACATTTGTCACATCTCTCAAAATAAACCAGCATATTATTTTCCCCATTTGTAATCGAGAGTTTAGCTATTGGAAATATGTCCATTTCATCAACAAATAAACAAATTCAAAGTGAAACACAACAATGACAATTCAGTTACAACAATTTAGTATATACATGTACAATATTCCTACATGCTAGTCAGTTACTGTCACTAGAATTAAGTAATCAAATTAACACAATATTAAATATTCAACTTTACTTGAAAGGAGAGCGCAGTAATAACACACTGTCAGCTGTCAATCATTTGACCACGGTTGGTAGAATGAAAAATCAGAAAACTAGATGACTCAATGTTAGAATCCATGTCCTTGCAAACATTGAAATTAACAAAAGAAAAAGACTAGTAACTAATTGGCGTGAATTCTTATACAGGTATTGATCTTATGAGCAAGCACTTCTACAACATCAAAATAACAGACATTGGAATGGACAACTCTGTTCGCAGTGTACTCGTTCATCATTTATAATCACTTAAAACCATTATTTTTTTTTATTGATTGACGCCCACAGATTAAATATTGACGATATAAATGCCTTCCCTCTCATCCATTTAAGTCAGAGACGTTTTAGTCATTAGAGGTTGTACTTGTAGTACCAGTGTATTGCCACAGTATAGAAAATAATGCCCTCATACATGGGGAAATCATAGAACAGATAAGTCTTTCAGTTTTAGCGGGTACAACATGAAACGTACAACCTGTAACACAATGACAGCAATGTAACAACAGTGACAAAATGTCAACATTTTAGAGTACATTTTGCACAAGAATAAAGAAATTTTGACATGTTACCACCAGTGTGCCTTCTAACAGGTCTGATTTTGTAGGTATCGAGAGTCAAAATGGAACCTCCCTAAATCAAGTTGAGTCAGTTTGGTAACTACTGGGGAGGACAATCATCAAGAATAAAATCATATTTGACTGTACAGGCAACATGAATCACAAACAAAAATGTTTTCCATTGTTTTTACACTTATTTTGGTGTAAATTGTAAATTTAATTTTACCAGATTACAAATTCTTTAGTAATATATATATATATATTCCAATACAATATTCTCTGTTGTGTCAACAATGCCCAGTGAACTGGCACAAATACTGTAAAATACTTTTTTATAAAAGGATGATTCAGTTAAAAACAAATCCAGCTAATGTACCTTTTTTCCTGTATTTTACATTCAACTCATCAAAAATCATAAACTTACATGTACAAAGCACCCAAAAATTCTTTTCAGCGAAAATTAATTCCAGCTAAAATAAAGTATTTTACAGTAGTTGGGTCACAGCAAATCTTTGTGATTCAGTTGCTTGTCATTTTGGCTTAGAGAGCGCCATCAACTATAAGATTTTAAACAATTTCATATTGACTCAATTTTCTTTTTTGCAGTTCCTGTCACTGATTCATGGAAAGATGAACTCAAGTTCATGACTGAAAAAGCTGGTTTAGGATGGAATGACGAACTAAAGAAATTTCAAGCCAAGGATCAAAAAAGAACTGCAGTATATTCGGCTGATACTGGACGATTGATTCCACCACCATCACGTGCCATGTCACGAGGATACTCTCGTCAACAGCAGCGAAAAAAAGAACTATTTCACCATATTGCTGCAGAAGCAGACAATGAAGCATTGGTGAGCTAAGGACAAATCACATTAGAGTACTAGTTGGTATCCTGCAAGCTGCAGTCGGTATCTCGCAAGCTGCAGTCGGTATCCTGCGAGCTGCAGTCGGTCACAAAAACAGAAGCAAGCTGTCAATCAATAGTGTTGTACAGTCAGTTTGTGTGCTTATTTTCAAACTTGTTTTGACCAATGATATCGCATGTTACCAGCCATGTTTTTACTCAACATGAAACATTAATTTAAGTACACAAGTTTGCACTACACTTTCAAATTACTACATTTAAATTACGATGGAAGGCATTTTTTACATCCGAGTAGATACAATATAATTATTATTATTTTCTGTTACAGGTGCTAGAAATGCTGTGTCAGATATTACAAACTGATTCAATCCCTGCAGTGCAGGCATGGTTAGTCTCAGCGGGTCAAAGAGGT